TGTGTTTGCTCTGATCATTCAGATGTGTTTCTTATAGGCAGCAGAATGTTGGGTTCAGTTTCTGAATCCATTTTGTCACTTTGTGTTTCTTTATTGGTGCATTTAGACCATTGATGTTGAGAGAAATTGTTGTAACAGGGTTTTGTGCCATCTTTCTGTAGTGGTTTGCTGTGCTTGTAGGGGTTTTTCTTGCCTGAAAGGAGCCCCTTTAGTCCTTCTTTAAAGTTTGGTTTTGAGTCTATGAAGTTCTTGAGCTGTTGTTTATCCATGAAATTATGTACGGTTACTTCGAGTTTGAGTTAGAGTTAAGCCAGGTAGAATATTCTTGGTGAGGCATTCATTTCACTGAGTTTTTTCACTATATCCCACCATTGTCTTTGGGCTTGGAGGGTTTCCTCTGATAGGTTGGCTGTGAATCTAAGGGGTACTCCTTTGTACGTGATTTCCTTCTTTGACCTTGCCTCTTGCAGTATTGTGTCTCTATCTGTGCCATCCATCATTCTAACTTTGATATGTCTTGGAGTCTTTTTATTAGGCTCTCTTCTTAGCTAGCATGCTTCATGTGCCTAGGATCTAACGTCTGCATTCTCCAGCTCTGGGAACTTTTCAGGAATGATTTCTTTAACTGTGGCTTTTTCACTGGGGTTTCCTCCCTGTCCTTCTTGTACTCCCATAATTCTAGTGTTGTTTCTCTTGGAATTATCCCCTAGTCTCTGATTAGCCCTTGAGCTACTTTGAGGTCTTTTCCCATTGTTTGTTGTTGCCTGTGAGCTTTCTGCAGCTTGTCTTCAAGCTCACTAATTCTTGTCTTCAACTGTAGCCATTCTACTGTTAAGGGCACCCATTGTGTTTTTTATTTCATCTACTGAATTTTTTATTCATGACATTTCTGAATGTACTTTTCTATTTCTGCTCTCATTTCTTCCCGTATTTTCTTCTCTGACTGCTCCACTGTTTCTTTAAGTTCACTGAACATTCTCAGCATTTCATCTCTGAATTCTTTATTGGAGAGATCATATTTGTGGGTAAACCCTGCGAGGTTTCTGGACTCTTTTCTTCATCTCACGGTGGGGAATTAAGCTGTTTCTCTATGTTATCATGGTTGGGCTGGAGCGATAGCACAGCGGGTAGGGCGTTTGCCTTACACGCGGCCAACATGGCCGACCCGAGTTCAATTCCTCCGCCCCTCTCGGAGAGCCCGGCAAGCTACCAAGAGTATTCGATATGCCAGACACAGTAACAACAAAGTCTCCAATGGAGACGTTACTGGGCCCGCTCGAGCAAATCGACGATCAACAGGAGGGCCTTTACCTTTACCTTATCATGGTTGTATAGAGGTGGGTCCTTCTAGTTCACTAGCGCTGTTCTCTTTCTGCGAGAAGGGGTTTTGGGTGAGCTTGGTCAATGGTTTTTGCCTTTTTCCACTCTAAAGTACGTCCTTCCTCTCAGGTATTTCTCTGTGACTTATGTGAGGCCTTTAGTGAAGATTGGAGGATGTGTTCTATATTCTATATTCTAAATATATTTCTGAGATTTGTACTTATCTTTTTAAATCACACATTTAATTTCTAATATCATAGCTGGAGTTAATATCACAGCAATTGTTAAAATTTTATAAATATTTTAATTCATCCAAAAATTATCTCTCATTTAAAAGTTTTTTTAAATGTAGAAATATTGTTTCCAATTACAGTATCCTATTTTTCAAATCACATATAAATAATAAAATTATCTACATTTCATTAAAATGTTAGTTTCTTTTCCAATCCTTCAACATACTCTATGTTGTCTTATTTCTTGCTTTTTATTATAATTTACTGCAACTAGAATACATTTGTGAGTAATTCTTTCAGAAACTGTGGGTGGCAAATTTTCCAAATCACTGAATGTTGACATAGTCTTATTTTGTCATCTCATTTGAAAATTTATTTAATTATATGTCTTATCCCGTGTTCACACATCACATATTATTAGTAAGGAGTCTGTTTTCCACTTGAAAAGTGAACTCATGAAAGATTCTGAGCAGAAGGGAGTGGTGACCACACAGAAAATGGAAAAGGGACTCCTTAGCAGTTGTGTGGGAAACAGACTGGAAGGCGTGGCGGCCGTCTTAGCAAGGGGTAACAGTAAGTTAGACCAGTAGCATAGGAGAAAGGAAAGGGAGAATTGATGCTCATTTTTAGTGTGTTTTGAATACTTTTCATATTTAAACAAAATTTAAAGATAAAAAAGAAACTATTTAAGTTTTCTGACAGGTTACGAGTATGAGAGAATTAGAGTTAAGAGTAACTTCGGTGGGAAGTGTGGACAGTCATTGGTAGAGATCAGGATTTGATTTCAGGATGTTGAGTTTGAGGTGTCTTTATCTTCCAAATGAAGAGTCTGAGAACCCAAGTATCATAGTTACTATTTTCAGTTTGCGTCTTTTAAAGGTGTTAAGTCTTTTTACTTTTATTTTTAAATGTAGGAGTACAGCTATTTATTCAGTCATTGATATAGCTGATTGAATTGGGCATGAATTCAACTTTACTACTTTTTAAAATTTTTGTGATTGAATACCCGTGAGACAGACCATTACAAAGCTATTCACAATTTGGGTTTCAGTCATATAATGACCCAGCATCCATCCCTCCACTAGTGTACATTTCCCATCACCACCAATATTCCGTTTCCCTCCCACCATTCCCTCCAAAACCCCACCTGCACTCCCAGCCTTCCTCTATGAGAGTCACTTTCCTTCTTGCTCTCTCTCTCTCTCCTTTTCCTTTTGTGCATTCTGGGTTGCAATACAGGTGCTAAGAGGTCCTGGTGTTTGTTCCTGGTGTTTGTTTCTTACAAATAAAAATACATTCATTCAGTAGCTTTTGGAGTTGGAGTAGCTTTTTAATTGGGTGGCAGTTTTGGGGTGTGGATGGTGTGCATGTGACTGCCAAGACTTCTGGAAGTAGAGGGAGGTGGGGAGAAGTAGCCCATCCAGACCCCAAGGAAGCCTGGAGATTTCAGTCACAAAACCCGCATACTAGAATTTTCAGCAGATTGTGGCTCCGTGAGATCTGTCTGGAGACTGTGGAGTAAGGCCGAGGGGATGGCAGCGATTTTGGATTGTAGGAGCAAGGAGCTACTGGGACAGGCACCAGGATGACCTGTCCCACTCTGAATTACCCCAGTCTGTTCAGACTTTAACAGGTCTGAGATTAACTGAGGCTTTTGATTTTTTGTGAGATTTATTTATGGATCTCTAAAGCAAAGCCAGTAGTAGAGCTTACATGGTGGGGCTGGAGTTGGTTTGTTGTGGTGACTGCCAGACGTACTGGCAAGTAGAAGTATTGGCAAGTGGGGGAAGGTAGCCCACCCCAACTCTGAGAAAGCCTGGAGATTTCAGTCACAAAACCCTCATGCTCTAATTTTCAGCAGATTATATTTTGTGTGATACATTCTGAGACTGTGGAGTCAGGCTGCAGGTATGGTGGCAATTTTGAATTACAGAAGCAAGCAGCTTTCAGGAGCTTTCTGCTTAAGCAGGCTCTACGCTGATCCACCCCATCCGATTTACCCTGGACTGTTCAGCCATGTGTGGTCAGAGGTTAATTGCGGCTTTTGTTCTCTTTAGAGATTTATTTATGGGTCTATGAAACAAGACCAATAAATGAGCTTGTGTAGCTTAGCTGGAAGTGGTTTGTGGCCGTGGCTGTCACGTACGTAACTTTTGGCCATTTAATTTCTTGCTAGAATTGGTCCCAAGTTGTTGGGGTCCGGTCAAAGGCACAGAAGCAATGGCAATTCGGGGTATTAGGAAGCATGAAGACACCATCAGGCTGCTGATGAACTCACCCCACATGTACAGGTTGACAGCTGGTAGCAGTACACCAAGTGTTAAGAAGGAATGTGAAGCAACTTAAATATAGACTCTATCCTGCTTTAGCTTTTTTAATCTGTAAGCCCTATTATCACGTAATTTGTCAGTAATTAGCCTTAATTGTAAAATGTAAATATTTGACCTTTCTCAGAAACAACTCTCTTTGGGCATTTACATATTTTAGTGTTTATAAAAAAAATTACAGGGGCTGGAGCAATAGCACAGTGGGTAGGGCATTTGCCTTGCACTTGGTCAACCCGGGTTCTATTCCCAGCATCCCATATGGTCCCCCGAGCACTGCCAGGAGTAATTCCTGGGTGCAGAACCAGGAGCAACCTGTGTGCATCACCAGGTGTGACCTAAAAAGAAAAAAAGCGATTACAATAATTGGTATACTTAGAATAAATGATTTGGGGATTAAATATGACTGAGTCCTTAAAACAACAACTTGATAATGCTAGCATAAATATATAACAGCATAGTTTGTAGTAATTATGAGAGGAGTTACCAAAGTCAGTATGTATTTTTGTTTTAGCTATTTTTATTCTGTTCAGGAGACCACATCCAGTTATGCTCAGGGTTTACTCCTGGCTCTGTCCTCCAGGATCACTCCTGGACAGGTTATGTAGTGCCTGGGATAGAACCCAAGTCGTCCACATACAAAGCAAACACCCTATTGACTGTACTATTTCTCAAGCCCCAAGCAGTGAGTGGCAATCAGAGAGTAGAGTATTTCAGTTACAGTGAGTCAGTTAGCTGGTTGGCAAATTAATGAACTTTTATTCTGCTTCAATATTGTTCTAAAAAACGATTTCTCAATATTACTCTCCAACTAAAAGACCTGAGAATGACTCTTTAACCAAACTATCAACTCTTAGTTGTATCAAACTTTTTAATACTTGACGTGGATGAAAATAAGTCATTTTTAAAATTTTCTCCTCTCTTAGTGAGATTGGGCATTTTTCATATGCACATTAAGTATATCACTATCTTGAATAAGGACATCTAAGATATATATGAGTTTATTGCATATGTTACACCAGCAATTTGAGATTTGTTCGCTTTTTAAGTTTATTTGCAAAGCACCTTAGTTATGTATTAAGCAGTTACTCCATTGCCATCTCTCTTCTTTGATTTTTTTTAGGAATTATTTGGAACTTGTTGCAGAATCCATTCAAGACTGGATCACAAAAGAAGAAGCAAAATATCAAGAAAGTAAAATGACTGAAGAGATCAGTAAGAACAAATTTGGTCAGGAAATGAAAATGTACAGTGCCAGAACTTCTGCTAGCAAACTTTACTCTATTAAAAAATCTAAAAGTACGTGACTAGCTAAACATAAACTTCAAAGTTATTATCTAGTTATTGATCAATACTGTGACTATTTCAGGGATAGTAAACAAAAGTTGAGTTACCATCAAAGTTAATGTGATTCTCCACTTTCTTTAAAAACTTAAAGTAGAACTTTTCCATTCCATATATGATGAGATTGTACTTTAGTTGAGTAACACAATATTTGACCCCACTTTCTGCCAGATATGAAAAATTCTATCCATTGTACAAATTGAATATAATGTTAAGGAATTGTCAGATGTTGTGTCTCAATTTTGGTAGATTAATAGGTTCAGCCATGTAATACTAGTTAATGATGCATGGGATAAATTCAGAGTCAGTGGATCTGCACTAGAATACTTAGAGTAAACAAAACTGAATTATTAAGTGAAGATCTTCCTTACAAAAGCTTAAAGACCGATTGTGGGTAGGAATCAAAAAGTAAATGGAAAAGAATTCTTTATTATTTACAGCAAGGACTTGACAAGAGGTTGAGTTAACAATTTTTGTTTTTGTTCTGTCAATTTCTGTGACTTTGAAAGTGCCAGTGAAGAGAAGAGAAGGCAGTGACAAAGAGAGAGAATAACTGAGAGAGAAGGGAAGTAATGAGGCAACTTATTTGGGAAATAAGGATATTTTACTGAACTTGCGCCCAAGGAATAGATATAGATACCCTCTTCATCATGTTTTTAGTTCTAATAGACAAAATTGAGAGTTACTTTCCATAAAGCAGCAGTGACATACATTTCGCAAAGTTTTTGTAAACCCTGCCATTTTTCAAACTATTTTGTACTTGGCTGATTACAAAATATTATTTTGAAAACTAAATTAATGCTGAATCATTTACCATCCACCATGATTATATATGTATATATGTGTGTACATATGTATTTATATAATGATATTTTTATATAACGTCAATATATAATTATATATAAATATATATATTATGGGGCAGAGCGATAGCACAGATGGTAGGGTGTTTGCCTTGCACGCAGCCAACCCAGGTTTGATTCCTCTGTCCCTCTCAGAGAACCCGGCAAGCTACCGAGAGTATCCCACCTGTACATCAGAGCCTGGCATGGTCCCTGTGGAGTATTCGATATGACAAAAATAGTAACAACAAGTCTCACAATGGAGATGTTACTGGTGCCCTCTTGGGCAAATCGATGAACAATGGGAGGACAGTGCTACAGTGCTATATATTTTATATTTGTCTATATAAATATTTATACATATATAAATATATACAATTTTTCAGCCTGGACATTTTTTCCAATATGGGTGCACAGCTAAGACCTAGTATCTGGAATAATAAACCCAATTTTATAAAGAAGAAAGATGGGGCTAAGTTATAACAATGTGTCTAGGATCTGGCTTGTTCTTATTGGTAGGCACCCCTGTGGCTTGACTGCCTTTCCTTTATTTTCTTTCTGAATAGAAACCAAAATTACTTTATAGGTGTCTGTAGAGGTCCAGAAAATAATTATCTGGGGCCCAGAAGTAATTATACCTGGTCGGGCATGTTTATGTTGTGGCCTCTCAAATGAGGAAAAATGGAAATATTCAAAACAGAAAAACAACAATGACAAAGAAATGGCTTCAATGTGAAATAAAAAACTATAGTTGATATATAATGACTGCATTTGTTTGTGAGATATATATTAGAAGAATAACATCCATGGCCACGGAAAACTGGGATTAGGAGGACCGTCAATGGTTGGAACTAACCACAAGTGTGTGTGAGGATGAGGGTAGGTAGGATAGAGAAGAGACCAGTATGACAATAATAGCTTGGAATGATCACACTGGACAAGATCTGGGGGTTAAAAGTAGGTAAGGGATATTCCTGATAACCTTTCAGTATCAATATTACAAACCACAATGCCCAAAAGAGGTGGGGGGAGGGGAGAGAGTGAGAAAGGCAGACAGAGACAGAGACAGAGACAGAGAGCAGAGAGAGAGAGAGAGAGGGAGGGAGGGAGGGAGAGAGAGAAGAAAAGTGCCTTCCATAGAGGCAGGCAGGGGGTGAGGGTTGGGGGTTGATGGGCGGGAACTTGGGAACACTGGTCCTGAGAAATGTACACTAGTAGAGGGATGAGTGTTGGAATACTGTATGACTGAAATCCAATCATCAACAGCTTTGTAATGGTTTATCTCACACTGATTCAATGAAAAAGTAAAAAAGATACAAACATTATATAATCAGATAAAAAAAAAGTTAGGTTTGTTTTCTGTAGTTCTAAGAATTTGATAGCCCTGAAGATTCCCCAAAATCAACCAAATCTTTGTTCTTCCACTGTAAAATTTTGATTTAGGCAGTTACTAATAAGTTTAATTTCCTCTGGTTATAGGTAAAGGAATGAGCAAAACAGAGCTATCAGAACAAGAAAAAGAAAAAGAGAAGGATAAGATTTCTTTTGTTTTAGAAGGTTCTCTCAAGGTAATACAATGAAAGACAAATGACATGGTACAGGTTTGTGTAATCATCATCAAACATTTTTCCCCTAAACTCTCAGGAATAATTGAATTGGTAGTGAAAGGTTCAGTTTCTCTACCAAGTCTTTCACCTGATAAGTCTTTATAAGAATTATAAAGTCTTATTTATTTTTATTTTAACTAAAATTCAAGGGAATTCATTGTTCATGTTGGTGAACCATGCTTTTGCTGCAGATGTTTTGTTTGCATTTTTAAGCCCCCCCCCTTTTCTCATTTATTGATTATGGATTTAAAATTCTACAGAATTTAAGGAGCACAGCTTAACCATCTGGAGGGTTAAGCACCCACTTCCAAAATTCACATCCCATCCAATATTCCTCCACACATACCTCCTATCTCCTCTCTTCCCCTCTGGAAACTTTCATAGATTTCAGAATCTGAAAATTAGTTATGATTTTTGTTTTGTTTTTACCAATTTTGCCTTGGTAATTTATATTTCGACATTTGGCAACTGACTTTCACTTCTTTACTTATTTCACCTAGCAAAATCACCTCAAGACCATAAAGACACAATTTTGTTCATTAAGGCACAATTTCATTTTTTAAAAGGTAGAGTAGTATTTTGTTGGATATCTTTATTCTGCAGCTTTCTAAGTCATCTGTCAGAGTACAGCAGTAAAGCACTCGTCTTGCATACAGCTGATCTGGATTCAATCCCCGGCACCCAGTATAGACTCCTTTGCCTCCCAGAAGTGATCCCACGGAGCAAAAACAGAAGCAGGTCCTCTTCTTCCGGAGTGTCCCCAAAGTAAAAACTAACCAAAACAAAAAGTCATCCATTAGTGGATATCTATGTTGATTTATCTATTGTGAATAATGCTGCTATGAATATAAGGTGTAAATATCTTTTCAAATCAATATTTTTATATTATTTGGATACACACCTACGAGTGGTATCAATGAATCATATTGCATTTCTTTCTTTTTTTTAAGGAAATTTTATTATGTTTTTCATAGAGTCTGAAGCACTTTACATTTCTACCATTAGTGTAACAGGATTTATTTTTCTCTACATCTGTGCCAACACTTGTTTTCAATCTTTTAAACATAGGTCATTATTACAGTTTGAGACAGTATCATTGTGGTTTTGATTTTTATTTCTCTAGTATTAAATAATGAATATTTTTTATGTTTCTGTGGATCATCTTTGGGAAAATGTTTATTCAGATATCCTGCCCATATTTTTATTGTTTTTTTTTTAGGTTTTTTTTTAATTGTTAAAAAGTGAGATCTCCTTAAGTATTGTGGATATTGTGCTCCTTGTCAAACACATGATTTCAAAAATTTTTTCCCAATTGATGATTAACTTTTCATTTTGTTTATTTTTTTTTTGTTGCTGTTTTTTGTTGCTGTTAGCTGGGTATAGGCCCAGTTGGGCTGGAGCGATAGCACAGTGGATAGGGCGTTCACCTTGCATGTGGCTGACCCGGGTTCGATTCCTCTGTCCCTCTTGGAGAGCTCAAAAAGCTACTGAGAGTATCCGCCTGTACATCAGAGCCTGACAAGCTCCCCGTGGTGTATCTAATATGCCAAACCAGTAACAATAATGACCCTGACCCTGAAAGAGCCCCCAAAGAGCAACTGTAAGAAGAATGAGCAAGGAGAGGCTGATAAAATCTCAGGGCCTACCTAGGGGCCAAAACAAAGAAGGACTAAAATGACTGTCTGTACTTTCAACGCACGTAGGCTGGCATCGGAAGCATCCATTGAGGACCTGATGGTGTAAGTACAGAAGATCAAGTATGACATCATTGGTCTGACTGAGATGAGAAGGCATCAATCACATCACGCCATTTTCGACACTGGAGAAGAACTTGTTCCTTAGAACATGTGACAACAGAGGCATGGGTGGTGTTGGTGTCTTCGTCAACTTGAACTTGGCCATGAGCATTGATTCATTCGTATACCGAACAACCTGAATCGGATGCTTATGCTTGAATAGATGTGACTCGTTGCAGGCAGTTTCTATCTTTGTCGTCTACACACCAACATCCAACTACAATGAGGAAGAAATTGAGAAGTTCTACATGGAGCTGGAGAAATTCTACAAAGAAGACCAGACCTTCTACAAGATCATTGTCAGTGATTTTAATGGTAAGATAGACTGAGAAGATCTCCCAAAGAACTCCACACCAGGACCCATGGCCTAGAATGGAACGAACAGGGTGAGAGACTGTCTGAATTTATCATGTCGACCAAGACCATTCATGGTAACTCACAGTTCCAGAAGATCGAATCTAAATGTTGGACATGGGAGTCTCCCACTGGACAGTTCCACAATGAAATTGACCACATCATATTCAATCGATGATTTTTCCTGACCGATCTCACTGTTGTCCCAAAATTCCAAATGGGATCAAATTACTGTCTCCTTCATGTGAAACTCTACTTCACAAAGTAGGAAGAAATGGCTGCAAAGTTTAAGAGAACTCCCAGAATGATCACTAACTGGGAGCTCTTTGACACTTAATCACTTCACTTAACTTCCCATTAGTCATCGATTTGCTCGAGCGGGCGCCAGTAACGTCTCCATTTGTCCCTGTCACGTGCTATAGTAGCCTAATGGCATCTGTTCGCTCTGGGAACATGAAGAGCCTCAAACCGATTGTTCATGATCTTGATGAAGTAGTCTGACCATCTGGTAGGTGGGCGGCCACGCAGTCTTTTGACATCCCGTGGGATCCAGTAGGTAACAGCTCTAGTCCAGCGGTCGTCTTTGACACTATTGCAGCAATATGGGAAAATGCCTCCATTGACAAAATCGACGAGGAATATGATCATCTGGTTCAGCACCTCCATGACTGTGCGAGGAATGCCAAGAGTAGGAAAACCACAAACAGATGCCTGTCTTCGGAAACTCTCAAGCTCATTCGCCAACATGGTTTGGTATGAGCCTCAGACAATCACAAACTAATGTCCAAGCTCGCAAAGCTGTGCAGAGAAGCAATAAAGGAAAATCTAAAAGAGAGAAGAGCAGAAGTGTTGGTCAATTAGGCAGAAGCCGGGAAAAGTATTCACAATGCCCACCTGTCCTTCGCCAATTATAAAACTAAGATCACTGCTCTCCAACATCCTGACGGATCTATCACATCTTCCAGAAGGGCAATGGAGAATATTATCCACGACTTCTACTTGGATCTCTTTGATAGCCACGTTCATCTGCCCACATACCAAGTTCCGCAGGATGGGTATGTCATTCCCAACATCCTCCCTTCCAAAATCCAACACGCCATTTCGTTGGTAAAGAAGTGTACAGCACGCAGTCCAGACAAGGTCAGACCCGAACACCTGAAAAATCTGCCGCCAGTACTCATCAATACACTGGCTCGGCTCTGCACATGCTACCTGTCTGAATGCAAGATTTTGTCCCGATGGAAAACCAGCAGAACCGTTCTGTTGTACAAGAAGGAAGACATCCACAAAATTGGCAACTATTGCTCGATCTGCTTGTTATCTGTTGTTTACACGTTGTTCACTCGAGTCATCCTGAATAGAATAGGCAGAACACTAGACGAAGGACAACCATGCAAGCAATCCGGGTTCTGAAAAGGATTCACATAATTGACCATATCCACTCATTCTCATTGAGGTTTCAGGAGAGTTCAAGACGCCATTCTGTCTAACGTTCATCAATTTAAAGAAGGCCTTTGATTCTGTTGAGACTGAAGCAGTTACTGAAGCCATAGCCAAACAGGGCATTCAAACTCAATACATCAGGATTCTCTGTGAGCTGTATTACGGATTCACCACCAGGATCTCACCAATCTACAAAGAAGTCATCATCGACGAAAAGAGAGGGATTGATCAGGGTGATACTATTTCATTAAAACTCTTCAGTGCCACCCTTGGGAATGTCATGCGATGACTGGAATGGGAAGAAATCGAGTGAAGATAGACGGTCGGCAACTACACCACCTCCACTTCACTGATAACATTGTTCTAATAACACCGAACATCAGCCAAGCAGCACAAATGCTAACTGCCTTCTACCGAGAGTGTGGAAAGGTTGGACTGCAGCTAAATCTCACTATGACAATGTTCATGAGAAACGGACTAGTCCCTGATGTTCCATTTTCTCTCAAATGAACGAACATCTCCGAATGCAGAATTTATGTGTACCTAGGTCGTGAACTCAACATGATGTACAACGTGGCACCTGAGCTGTGCAGGAAAAAGAGAGTGGTATAGAATGTCTTCAAGAGCGTTGAAGAAATAGCTAAGACAACAAAGAACCTCCAGCTCCGGGCACATCTTTTCGACTCCACCATTTTTCCTGCACTAACATATGCCTCAGAGACCTGGGCCCTATGAAAACAGGATGAGAATGCTGTTCGGGTCACCCAAAGAGGAATTGAAAGAGCTATGCTTGGAGTATTACACTTCACTCAAGTGAGAGAAGGAATCCAGAGTTCTGACCTCTGTCAATGATCGAAGATCAGGGACATTGCCTTGTTTGCCAAGGTGTCAAAAATCACATGGGCTGGACACATAGTGAGATTTGGAGATGACCGCTGGACTAGAGCCATTACCGACTGGATTCCATGGGACTTCAAAAGAACACCTGGTAGCCCACATATGAGATAGTCAGACTTCTTCATTAAGACCCTGAGCAAACGGTTTGATGCTCCTTGTGCTTCTAGAGCAAGCAGACTCCATTGGGCAACACTAACATGTGACAGGGATGAAACGAGGTGTTACTGGTGCCCACTCGAGCAAATTGATGAATAACGGGATGACAAGTGATTACAAGTGATTTACTTTAACAATGTCTTGTATATAGTTGAGTATCATTCTTTCAACTATTATAAATTCATAAATTTATGTATATTTATTTATATCCTGCCACTTACTGAAACCAACATTTCTCATAGGTATGTATGTGTGTGTGTGTGTGTGTGTGTGCATGTGATATCTGTAAGGCTTTCTATGTTTTATTACCACGTC